CATTTACACATTGATTATAGTATAGTGTACTGTTCAAAAATGTGAACCGTATTTTGGCTTCCTTAAATGTATCTTTGAAAATAAAATTAATTATGTATTCTTTACTTAAATATGTGTAAATTTGTGTCTGTACTGTTTTACTTTCCTCGGATTAGAGCAACTCCAGCAGTACTACCTAAAACTACCTAAATATCTCTTTGGGTAGCCACATATTTTTATACTACCCATTTTTTGCTTTCAACTCCGGCAACACTACCCAAACATACTACCAAAATGCATTCTAACAATGAATGACATGTGAGGCGTGATGTCATCCTCTCTCTCTTGTTCTACGGTGGAGAGGAGATGGCCGTGCACCGCCGGGGAAGGCTGCACCGCGCTGCCAGGGAAGACCGCGTCCGGCCGCGCCGGAGATGGCCGCTCCTGAGATGACCACGCCGGAGGAAGGGCGCGCCGCGCGCGGGGGAAGACTGCGTCAGGCATGGCTGCACCGCGCCGGTCACCTGGGGAGGCTGCACCAGAGATGGCCGCGCCGGCCATGCCGGGGGAAGACCGCGTCGGGCATGGTCGTACAGCGTCGGAGATGACCACGCTACGTCGGGAAGAGCCGTCGTGAGGCCGGCCATGCCGTGGGGCAGCCAGATCCGGGGTGGGGCACCGCCGGGGAGGGCCACGTCGGGTCCCTGGCAGTGGCGGACGGAAGGCACGGGGAAGAAATGGTCAGGCATGGAGAGGAAACAAACGAAAATAGGTAGGCTGATTTGTTTGGCTAACACGAATAGGTAGTGGGAGGGGAATTTGTTGGGCCAACAGATTTAGGTAATCTGATAGGTAGCCTACTGGAGTGTGTCTTTTTGGCCTCCACTACCTAAATCTAGGATAGGTAATCTGTTTAGGTAGTCTGCTGGAGTTGCTCTTATATATGTGCATTCCTAAAACAGAGCCATCAGGTCATCTTAACTTATTATCGAGAAAACATGATAGAATTCTCGTGGGAAGCCACCTGGGCCTGGAGCAGTATTATGCTTCATTTGAAAGAGTGCCTCTTTTACCTCTTCATCAAATAATTGGCTGCTAACATATCATTTTCTTAGGTTGAGGCTGAAACCTAAGGAATAACGTTCCGCTATGACTCATCCATAGACATTAAGTTATTGTTTGGAGGTCCAAACAAATTTTTGTAATATCTTGTGATATACTTTCAAGTTTAGCATCCCTAGTGACCACTCTCTCACTTGTTCCAACTGAAAGGAACGAGTTTTGTTTGTGTTTTCCATTGGCCACTAATTGAAGATCTTTTGCATTAGCATCTCCTTCCAACAAGGTTTTTATTTTACCATGTTTGTACCATTTTAATTCTTCTTCTCATAAAAGCTCTACTAGATGCCCATTGAGAAAACGGTAATGCCTGGCCACGGGCATCCGTCCCATCTGGACGTCGCGCCTCACTCCGCTCGCTACTGTGGCCTTCTCTCACCGCGCGCCCCACCCTACGTTGCTCGCTTGCTTGCTCCTAGCTCCCGCCCATTGCACGCCCCACCTGCAGCGCTCGCTCCTCGCTTCTCTCTCCTGCCCGACACGCGCCCCACCCGTACCTCGCTCCTCGCTTCGGTCGTGCGCCATGCCGCCCGCTCCCTCTCTTAGCGTGCGGCGCCCGTCCGACCGAGCCAAGGCCAATGCTGCTGGTGCTGGTGGTGGTGGTGGTGGTGGTGGTGGTGGTGGTGCTCATGCGTCGTCGCTGGTGCTGGTGCTGGTGGTGCTCGCGCGCGCCGCCGCTTGCCGTCAGATCCCACCCCGACGACCGAAATCGACCGGCCCCAGCCTTCCCCTCCCCTATGTTGCAAATATATGTTTCAAGTGTTTCAGATATTTCAGAGGTATGTTGCAATTGTTACATATGGATGTTGCAAGAGTAGATTAGAGTGTTTTTATAGGTATGTTGCAAGCGTTTGTTCAAAATGTTTCATATGTTTCAGAAGTATGTTGCAGCAAGTGTTTTATCTCGATGTTGCATATGTTTCACATACATGTTGCAAGTGTTTTATCTAAATGTTGCATATGTTTTACACATATGTTGCAATAGTGTGTTTCAAATGTTTTATCTGTGTCAGACGTATGTTGTATCCAAGTGTTTCATGTTGCAAGTGTTTCACAGGGCCACGGTGAGTGATGGGCGCACGGTCCGGGCGTTGGGAGATGGGGTGCAACGAGGTAGGGACTGGTGGACAGGAGCACAGCGAGCTGGGAGGCGGTTTTTGGGTCCTGCCCAAGCGGAGAGAGAGGAGGGGGTCAGGGGGAAGGAGCGGGGCGCAGCGACGGGGGCAGGGTGCGCGTTCGAGGTGGGGCAAGGCGAACGGGGCGGGCTGCGCGGCCGTCCGGACGCAAGGAGCGGCGGGCGCAGTGTCGAGGGCGGGGTGCGCGTGCGAGTTGAAGCAAGGCAGACAGAGGCGGGCTGCACGGGCGTCCGGATGCGCCCGTCCGTCCGGACGTCCTGCCGCTAGCCACGCCCTTGAAAAAAATGTGATTTGACTCATTTTTATCTAATGTAGTTGACTCTGCTTTCATAGCTAGCTTATGTAGTTTGTTAATTTAATAGTTATTCTTTTTCTTCTTTGTGTACGTAGTACTCATGTTTTTTGCCCAACCCATCAAGTATTGAGGCACACGTCTTACTTTTGCGTGTCGTCTTTCTGTGGGAATATGGCTTTGTATTAACCTCTTGCAGATAGCCTTGCCCATCGAAAAAAACCTTCCTATAACAACCAATCCAGTTCAAATTTAAATATAAGACGGTGATTAGCAGAAGAGGCTTCACCTGTGTTAATGAATAACGTAGTGTGATATGAGGTCTCTTTGGATAGCGCTTGTACTTTGGTGCTTGGGAATTTTAACTCCTGATCTATGAATGTTCTCGTTAGTTAGCACTTGAAGGTTGTTAGCCCAAGTGCACTGCCAACCTTAAAGTGCCAACTCTCTTAGATTGCACGCATATGTAGTTGTGTTAAACAAGAAAAGCCATTTGTCATTGTAAATTGCATTGCTCTTTTTGTGCGGCCCATGAATAATATTATAGTCTCCACCTATTAAAATAGGTAAGGATTCTTTATTAATTAGTTTTTTTCTCAATCACACAAAAGGTTTACACATCTTTATATTAAGGTAGGGAAAAAATTCGTTACAATACGTTTTAGCAGTGTCCTAGGAGGTCAATAAAGTTTTACATAGACGCTCAGACCTTCTCTGGTGTACTGACTAGAAATGACTCCTTAAATTATTGTTGTGTTGTACCATGCACAAATACCAGTGGCCACTGGAAGCCGTCTTGCCTATTCTGCAGTTTAAGCTTAATAAAGAAATCACCTTCCTGAATCTCTCCAATGTCAAAAGTGTAGAGATTAACTCCTACTAGCATGCCACGAGAAATCCTTCCAACGACAAGAAAATTTTTTGGAAATTTTGAGAACAATTGCCCCCATCAATTTCCCATAGAACTACAAAGTCTAAGGTCTTCTCTACAACAAGGCCTAACACAAATTTAACTTTTTTTAGTCAACTAACCCATTACACTTCCAAAAGTTGCCCTTCATTGTCAAACCTTCTGTAACAAGAGGCGGAGCCAGAAAAGCCTCAAGGAGGTGCTTTTTAAGTGAGAAGGTGCTAAGCTAAATTGAAATGAGTAAAATCAGGCCTTAAATGAGGTATAAGTATCAGCTGCTACTGGTTTAGGAGTGTGGCTGTGTAGTAGGAATGATGGAAGAGTCTTGAGAACCCTGCTATCTATCTTATTCCCATTTATTACGGGCTTAACAGGAAGCAGCTGGCGAGCCAGGCCTTTGTAAATTGTAGCCTCGGTCTGTCCAATGGGCCTCAGTACCACCGTGGGCTTGGCCTGGAGCTGCCGCTCATACGCCAGCCCTAGCATTACCCGAGAGCATGGGAACATTCCCACCAGCTTGCTTGCCAGGAGGCGTTGGTTCTCCTATTCTTTTTTTTCAAGTTCTTAGGGTCTTGGTTTGAGTTACCTCCATTGCTCGAACTGAAATTTTTGTTAGTATCTTCTAGTCCTTTGTCTGTCTGTATCTCCATCCTACTTCGGTTGAAAATCCATATCAATTAGACTGGGCTAGGATCATCCCTATCTTTTTCAACTCAAAATTGGAGTTCACAGATGTAGTCACCAATGACTACCTCAACATGCTCTAGAACAAGGTATGGGTTTAGAAGTTCATTCTAGACCTTCTATTGACGGCCAAAAAGTAATTGGGGAGTCAAAGATGGAACTGGAAGATCACATGCAAATATCAAAAGGAGCTGATCCTAGAATTCCCAATGAGAAATAGGCTTAGGGTGCATTTGGGACTGCTCCACAAAACCTAGAGTTTGTGGAGTGCCCTTTAGTTGCTCTCATAACTCCACCTTCTTTCTCGAAACCAAAGTGCATGGAGCTAAACCTGTTTGGCTAAAAAACTGGGAGCAGAGCTAAAAACGAGAGTAGAGCAGTCCCAAACACCCCTTAGTTTCCAAACCAGCTAAGCCAGATTTTGTACTTTTAAAAATGCATAACTAACTTTATGATTGTGTTTCTCTCGCCGAGGCAATCAGAAAATATATATACAACATCCAATTTGGAGTCGGATGAAGAAAAGGCAAGTTCAGGAAAATCACCTAGCGTAACTGGCTTAACCATTTTAAACTTCCACAAATGTTATCTCTTTGTTTCACTATTTCGAGTGGCAAATTTATAGGTTTCTGTCTAAAGCTAGTAACTAGAAAGGCAATATCCGTAAGGATGGCAATAAGTTAAATATCGCCTCTTCATGAAAGAAGCAACTGAATCCCCTGAGTTGTCTACCGCTATAAATGTAAAAGATCATGTGATGACCAATAATAAGCCATCCAAGCAAACCATCCTTGTTGAGAAGGCCAAAGGGGGAAATATCTAAAGAATAAGAGAAACTATTATCCATCACAAAACTAGAACAAAACCACATCCCAAGCAAATGAAGAAGAGCAAGTATGACTTTCTTTGGTATGTCTATGTATTCCATGGGCATAAAATCCATAAGTTCTATGGTAAAGAAGGTAAGATTTGTCACATTAAGTGAACGAAAGGGAATGTGGTGGCTAACTCGACCATAGGGTATGTACCTTAGGCCGTCATGGAAACTCCATCAAATGGTTAGTGGATTGATTTAGGTTCTACCTTTCAAATTTGTGTTGATCAGTTTGTGTTCACTTCATTCTAGGGATGCAGCAGCAGGCCAATCTTGATGAGAAATGGAGTTTCCGATGCAATTCGAGGCATAGGGAAGGTAAACCTAAAGATTACTTGAGGCAAGACGCTCATGTAGTGACTTGCTCTATGTGCCCTCGATGAAGTGGACCTCTCTATAGTGTCACTGCTACTATAATGTGGTCCAAAATTAGTGGTTGAGTCTAATAAAGTAGTATGTCTAAGTTTGGTGGCTTTGCTGGAAAGTCTATGATCGAGGCAATTTGTGCCATATTTCTATTTTAAACGATCATTATTCTTGTGTAATAATGATTTTAATAATGATATATGGCATTCACGTTTATGTCATGCAAACTTATATGTTATTAAAAGATTAAGTAACATGTTTTCATTTCCTGAATATAAACATGTTAAAAGTTCCAAGTGTGGTATTTCTGTGCAACCAAAGCAACCTAGGAATCCAATCCACAATTGAGGGTAGAAGTATACCTCCTTTGAACTAATTAACTTAGGTACAGCGACGGAGCCAGCGGTGGGGCTGGGGGGCTCTAGCCCCCCCCTACCGATCCACAGGCACGTGGAGCCTCCCTAAGCCTTCCCTTAAAATTTTATGCATATATGTATTATGTATGAGGGACTAAGGTTAAGAGAAGATAAAAAGCCTCTCTTCTTTTTGTTCAAGCCTCTCCTAATTTTTTTTTTACGGCTTCGTCCCTGCTTAGGTATATATGTGACATGAATGCTGTAATTGCATAACATGATAAAATACTTTCTTGACAGATGTTGTTGTTAGGTTCTGTTATATTTACTTACTCCGAACCCACCGCTAGAAATATTCTTTAGAATATATAAGGCTGAAATTCAAAACTAGTTGGATAAGACCATAAAAGATTATTGTCTAATAGAGATGAATACCTATTCTTCGTTTTTTATGAATACTGCAAAGAGTGTGGGGTCATTCATTAAACCTTTGTCACATATGCACCTCAATCAAAAAGGGAATTTGATAATATTTCCTTTGATGTTCCTTGGTTAATTAATTAATTAATTCAAAAAATCTAAAAAAAATCTATGGCTCAAATTTGTTTGAGATATTACATCGTAATAAGTAAAGGAAGTACCATAACACTACCCCCTAACACTCAAAAAATTTAAATATATTTTCCAACACTCTGATTTTAGAAAAATAAAATATTTATACAACACTACAATTCTCTCGTGCAACTACTACGTTCTTGCCGAGAGATGTGTAGAACATCTGTTAAAGGAGTGTGCAGTGGGCACTTTTTCTATATCATCGACGGTATCAATTTAGAAACTCCATCAGAATAAATCATGGATTATGTCATGGTCTATCCACGGGTGCAAGTACGTACAGTTACGTTTTGTCACCCACAACTAAAGAATGAACAAAAAAAACACTAGTCAAAAGGTGTGGAAATAATTAATATACGAGCACAATATTCCTCATAGGACAAAATAAGTTAATTGCACTCAGATACTAAAGCTCTTCAAGTTTACTTGATCATACACCAAGACCACTATAGCTTTATCTTACACCAGAGATCCTTGAATAATGTGGTCAACTCGCCTTATCTAAAGAAACATTAAACAAATAAGCGGCACTGCATTACTTAATTTCACTGATCAAGCGACTTGTGAAGGTCTAATGCCCTTATTTTGTAAGTTGTTTAGGTGAGTCTACTCCATGGTGTCAGATCAAACAGCCAGCTTCTGCTTGGAGGCACCTGGCAGAGTTGTGATGCTCCATGCCTTGCTACTAACCCAGTGGCAACTTGACCTTAGAATTTTTAAGAATTGTTTCCTAAACATGGATTTTAATGGGATGTGTCACTAATTGATTCCTTTCTGTCTGACCTTTTGGTAGTTGTGTCAAGGGCATAGTTTGCTTACTGATGCTACTTTGTTTAGGATAGCATCTTGGATATACATCTCGCTTAACTTCTGCAAGAGCAACTAACACCACTGAGATGCATGCAAGCTACATTATATTCCTGATGGTAGTAAACGCATGCATCTACTCCGGTGTGTATCATTAAACATCGCTATTATTACATCTTGATCTTCATCTATCTTCATTGCTAGCTTCTGGTTGATTATTTGGACAAGGTATATACAATCATACAGAATGGTGTTGTATATACATCATGGCCAGTGAAGGAAGCTTCAACAACTTCTCATCCTGCAAGCAAGTCAAAAGTGTACTCGTTGGGATGTAATTTCGCAGACCTGCTTCGCTCTGACCAAGGAAGATACTGACAAAACGGTATGTATGCAGAACAAGTGTACGTGCTTCCAATTAACAAGGCAGCCAGTGCTGGTAGCTCAAATGTTTGAGTATACATACAGTACATGTACTGTCCTTGAGAATACGGAAAGGGAAAATAAGTATCTGATGAAGACTAGAAAATGTGACAGATTAGCATTCTGAACCAAAGGGTATGATAGTAAGTTAACTAGTTTTAAAAAATACTGTTTTCGTTTAATCCTATTTACCGGTGAGCAATTCAAGACTCAAATATCGTGTATAACTTAAGGACCAGTTTTTAAAAATAAAATCAGTTTGTCAGCATGTTTCCAAAGTAACAATCATGGTTTCCTTTGTTCTATATATAGGACTAACAGGTCCGGTGGATCGTTCTAGGTGCTGCTTTTTCCACCTTGATCAAACTGTTCTATTGCATTGCTAGAATGTTCAGAAAATTGAACTGAATGGGCATCATTATCACAAGCTACATTCGACATGTGGATTATCACAATATATTAACAATCACTCTAAAAACCAACCACCCCAAGATGCAAGGTCCCTTTTTTTTGCAAACAAAAAGTGCAAATAGGAACCAAAAGGTCAATGATCTAGTAATATGAAACACAAAGACAAAGTTGCATGCTCCCAAAAACAGCCTACTTGATCCTCATTGCCAACTGTTATTTACCACTCTCATAAAATTGTTTGGAACGACGAAATTTCATAGGATTCCTGCAGAACTCTGGACTCCATACTAATTTTTTTGGGAAACTCTATCAGATTCTATTAAACCTCATTTTTAACAGGACCTTGTGCAGGTCCCGCGTCATATTTATCCATCCATAAGCAGGACATGGAATTATTGACATGACAAAAAAAATATATGTGTGTGTGTGTAAAGAATGATCTCACACGCGGCTGTGGGATGAACAAGTCCTGAGGGTCAAAACAGATGACACCATGCATTCAGGATGCTGCTGCATTGTCAGTTACAACTGCCCATGGACTTTTTGGCAGGTCAGCCTTGCTAGCACTAGCAAAGGCCAAAGGGGTCCCCCAACGTTGCATTGGTTTAGTGATGAATCTCCTTCCGATCCGCATCCGCATGGTCCACCATGAGTTAGGGTTCACAGCAGTACAGCCATAACTGAATGGGAAGGACTTGCATGCATTGGACTCGTCATTCTGACCGTGTTACGTACGCTAGCTGTACGCCTGTACGCCGCATTGTAGGAGTACGCTTGCTGTCAAAGTACTGCTACGTGAATTATTGGTGATGCCATTCTCTTACCAGTTTGAGAGGAACCTTGATGACGTTGTATGGAGACTTAATTTGCATGCACGGTACTACAGTCCGAAATATAGATAGATTATTCAGATTGGGAATTATATTGACAGGCCATTGAGCGTGATGAGGGTGTTGACTGATGACTACTGGGAATGATCATAGTAGTGTTTGGAATATTACTGTAGTATACTCCCTTCGTTCTAAATTATAAGTCGCTTTGACTTTTTTTTACATCTATTTTGCTATGCATCTAGATGTAATAATATGACTATATACATAGCAAAATGTATGAACCAAAAAAGTCAAAGCGACTTATAATTAGGAACGGAGAGAATATCTTGCATGTTCTCTAAATTGGGAGGTAGTTAAGTTAAAATTATAGATTATTATTCAGCACATTTCTCCCCTTTTCTAAATAAAGGCATAGTGTTGAAATAAGATTGTGTTTTGCTTGAAATGAAAAGAAATCATGTCTTATTTTCATTGTAGGTGGGGATAGGGGCATTCAGAGATCTAGAAGGAAACTATCCGGATTTTAGCAAAATCAGCTAGTTTCTTTCAAAATTTAAAATCTATTTTTTTTTCAAGGATCTGGGTTGGATCATATGGAAATTCCTCAGGAATCTGAGTTGGATCAGATATTATTTACCTCTGTTTCGAGCCCTGGTTTCATCATATCGGAATCCAATGATTAACCCATGTCAGTGGCCTTCATGCTTATCCCATCAGTCACAGTGATTCTATGGCTAGATGAAGACAAGAAGTAACAATGGAGATTGCACTGCCTTCTTATCCGTTGACACGTTCCATTGATTCAGTAGAGGCATCATTCTTAGATAGACCCTAAATCCTACGCAAGTTTAACTAAGTTCACAGTGGTTGGCTCAGTTACGTACAGTACAGGTCGTGTCCTAGAAATCTTGGTCGACCACACTACATGACTCACCAGTCACTACCCTAGTTCTAGCGCAAGCTGATCTCTATGCACTGGTCGTCAAGCTATGGTGAATTGCAGAGTACTAACTGTTCATCGTGGCTCGTGCATTCCTCACCTGTCCTAAATCCTAGTGTATTTGTCAATATGCTAGAATGATTTTGTGAAGAAATAATTGCGTTGAATACTATAACCAAGGACAATATATTCAGTGAAAGTGTTTAGGAAAAGTGTTGCTGAGACACCAATCCATGTTTCAGAAAGCAGGATGCATGACACAGAAGTTGAGAAATACTACACCTTTTCTGATGTTCTGTTCTGCTTATGCAGCATAGCAGAGGAATACTAGCATACTAGGGTGGACAAGGAAAAAAAAGCAATCTCAAAGTACACCGAAACAAAAGCTTGTGTCAGCATCAAGGTCAAACCATATCCGTACTTTTTAAAGGCCTCTCGCCAGCTCCTATAAATCCTGGGCGCAGCGCATACCACCACCCCACGACCAAACCAGCAGCGCAGCACCAGCACACCTGCCTGCTCATACACACACAGGTTGGGAGAGAGAGACTACCAGAGAAGAGAAAGAAAGAGGGAGATGGGAGAGCACCCTGCTGCGACAAGGCGACGGTGAAGAAGGGGCCATGGTCACCGGAGGAGGATGCAACGCTCAAGAACTACATCGAGGAGCATGGCACTGGGGGCAACTGGATTGCGCTGCCACACAAGATAGGTACGTGGTGAAGATGAACTGATTAACTCTTGCTCATCCATCGAGCCATGCATTGCCAGACATGTTTTAGCTCGATTCCAGTTGTTCAGCTGTGTTTATGTGTGTGTGACCGATGATTAACTGATTCATGAAACTGCATGCAGGGCTGAAGAGGTGTGGGAAGAGCTGCAGGCTGAGGTGGCTCAATTACCTGAGGCCCAACATAAAGCATGGCGATTTCACCCCAGAGGAGGACAGCATCATCTGCAGCCTCTACATTAGCATAGGGAGCAGGTACACATACAGACCCAGTCAACAACCACTCCCGGCCTTTTCTTTACAACTAGCTAGACTGTATGTATGTACTCCATGCATGCTGGAACTGAAGTGTAGTGCTAAGCATGTGTGTTAACATATCATGGGCAGGTGGTCCATCATTGCCGCACAGCTGCCGGGGAGGACTGACAACGATGTGAAGAACTACTGGAACACCAAGCTGAAGAAGAGGCTCCTGGGGCGGCGCAAGGACCACCTCCGCCAGAGCGCGGCTGTCGTGACCGAGGCAGCGTCCACCGGCGAGAACATGAACGACGGTGAACCTGCGGCGCTGAGTGCGTCGGCCATGGAAAGGATCCAGCTCTGCATGCAGCTGCAGAACCCGCTGCTGGGCGCCCACCACAACCCCCTGATGTGGCCCGGCTGCAGCAGCAGGGCTAGTACCCAAAGCAACAACAGCTTCAACAGCAACAGCAGCTGCGTGACAATAGCCGAACAAGGGCAGTCGTCCAGCTCGCTGAACGAGCACCTGATGATGAATGCGCAGCTGGAGGGTGCTGCTGCCATAGACAACAGCCTCGCCTCGCCGTCGAGCGCGGAGAACTCCAACATGATCAGCATGGAGGCCGAGCTTGAAGAACTGCTCTACGGTGAGAACAAGGCCGCCGGCATGGTCGACGGCGGCGGTGCGCAGCAGGTGGATGTGGACTGGTGGAGCTATGACCAGGCAGCTGGAAAGTCACCTGTGGGTTGCTGGGACTTCACCCCTGAAACCAACACGGTGTTCCTGGACTACGCATCGGTTTATGACATCTAGTGATCAAATTTGACTGAGCTGTGAAGAACGAAGCTGTAAATTAAGTTAGAGAGGTGACATATAGGGATTTGTCTAGAGTTGGCTCTGGATTTGTGACATCTACGAGTACTACATAAACTGGATTAAGCATCTTGTAAGAAACTCCTAGTAAGATGTAAGGGATAAATTAAATAAATAAATGTACTTAAAAATGCCTGCCAGGCTCTAAAGAAATGCTATTAGCTTGGCATGTTTCAGACAAAGAACAGATAAGGAACCTATCATGTTGATAGAAGTAGTGAAGTTAGCAAAGTAGTTTAGGTTGCTTTTATTGGGGAGAACAGAGAACAAGAACTGCTGGTTCCTACTGGAACCACATAGTCAATTTCATAGCCTCTCAAAAGACCCAAACAATAGCTTTTTTGTCTCTGTCCAAATTTGTACTGTTTACGCATTAACTTACATATTTATGCAATTTGTGTCCAAATCAAAGTTTGACTGTGCGTATTATGCTCTAGTAGACTAGTACCATATCATTGGCATGTAGGAATAAGGAGGTACGTTGAAAAACGGCTACCAGGCCTGAAGTACGTACGTTGAAAAAAAGAATGGAAACACCGTTCTCGAATACTCAATGCATTCAACATGAAGGCACGAACCGCGTGTGTCGGACGGTTGTGCGGGCGTCACTGTGTCAGCATGCTGACCAGGAATCTTCATGTGTGAGTGAGTCCAGTCCATCTATGACCCACCCATGAGATGGGGTCATACAATTCTTACCTATCAGCCCAAAAAGGAAAGGGTCAACCTATATGCCATGTGTGCATGTGACGGTGCGAATCAGTTTCACCCTCATGTGGCTGCACTAGTTTTCTCTGTCCTAAAATCAGTGCTTCATCGGTACATTAGGCAATGTCTACCTCTTAATCGGTTATTATAGAGTTCTGGATTGCACACGATTAACAAACTGGCAAATTTGTTTAGGTTGCAATAGCTTTAACACAACACAAGATAACAGATGTACAATTCTGAGTTACCTTTTTTTTCCTATTTCAGAAGGTTACAATTCAACAAAAACAAAGTTATTTTGTAAAGTTAATTATATTATATGTGTATGAGAGACTCTCTCTCTCTCTCCATCCCAAAAGAATGTAATTTTAGAATCTCAAACAGAATATCATTTAGGTTTGTCCTAAGCTAAACCATCATCGTAAATTAGACCAAAATTATTAGAAAATATTAATATTTATAATATCAAAATAGTACCATTAAAGTTTTCATAAATATATTTCCATAATATACTTAATTATATCATAAATATCAATATCAATACTTTCTTATGAACTTGTCAAACTCACAATAGTTAACTTTTGACAAAAGTATAATGATATTCTTTAAGAAACAAATGGAACACCCAGTAACTTTCAGAAGATATGAAGGTATTATATGGTTCAGACATAAAATCAACACAACACAACAACCTGATGAAACAAAAATAGATCAGAGTGCAAATCAGGCCGACAAAACAAAAGTCAAGCCCATAGGCCCATCAAAAAAAACATGAGAACAAACAGGGCGGAGGGGGCGAGGGGAAGGGGGTGGCAAAATCCAAGAATCAGGCCTATGAAGCAAACGAGCACAAATCCTAGTATACATATCTGATAGCCACAATGAGCACAAATCCTAGTGTACATACATATCTGATAGCCTCAATTCCTCAAATTAAACTGAAATTGATGAAATACATGTTACGATAGTTCAGCTATCCTAATCTTCATTTTCCTTGTTATATTAATACATTTATACACATACACCACAGATTCTCAACTTCTGAATGAAGACTACAGATAGCTATCGCTGGTGATAGAAAAATTGAAGCTGGGCAGGATTTGCAGTGCAAATCAGTTCATGATTCAGTCAGGTATCTAGTGCTGTCACGACTGAACACCATCGCTATTTGCTATTGCTTTACCATCTATGGCACACCCGCAGCATTAATCAAAGTCCAAATCAGTAGTGTTGTTATGCACAAGTAGGCAAGTAGCCTGAACTGAGCAGAGGTAGCTCAGTGATATTATCCTACCAAAGAATCATGCAGGTAAATTTTACTGCCAAACAATACTAAATATGTATGTGCCACGCTTGATAAAAATGTAGCAGAGCATCATCACAACTGAATCGGTCAAATGACTTTGTGCAAGCAAAATCAGTGATGTTCCTTGTTCTCACGTCACATGAACAAGGATTTGTACATGAACATTGGCCATGCAAAATAATGCTGCATTCTCACATGGATCCAGACTTTTATTACCTGCATAGCACAGGAACGTTGAATTTTGACAGGAGCTACTGATTATTAGTACATTTTCTCATCACTTGACGCAGCACAAGCTCATGCACTAGCAGAAATGTCAGTTACCAACAAGCAGAAGTTTGAGCAATGCCATCCTTATGTAGAGGCCATTTTTAGCCTGCCTAAAATATGCAGCTCTTGGATCACTATCGACTTCTACCGTGACCTGCAAAAGAATTGATCTCATTTAGATTTGTTGGTTTGCATTGGACTGCACTGACAAATGTAGCAACAAACATCAAAGAAAAAATGCAAAGAAGAGTGTGTCAGCTCCATGTCAAAGAATTTATAATCGAGATAGCTGAATACACAGTAACTAACATAGTTATTTCATCAGTTATATGGTAAATATAAGTAGTTCTCCCCGATGTTAAATGGTTTTTGTATAGCACTTCTGTGAAAAAACAAATATGCACAATATTGAAAAACAAATAGCACTTTTGTATAGCACTTCTGTGAAAAGTTCCAACCATCAACTTCTCTAAATCTCAATGTGGTTTCCAGCCATCTTCCAGATAGACTCATACCAACTATTGACTATTCTAAAGATCCATAACCTGACATCTGTTGGAACCAGCTGTGGAGCAATCTTGTGGCTAAGTAACTCCCGAGTTTACAGGAGGCTTTGACATTGGAACAGCACATGCATACTTATGAAAAACTGGTACATAATATCTACTTACACCAAACTTTTTAGTTTGATACAGTAATTACAACCTAGTCAAAACAGAAAATTTTAACACTTCCATCCACATGTCCACTAAAGACCAGTTTTTGTAGCAGTAATAGCACTGTTATGTGCTATGCTGGATTTATTGGTAAAGTTGCTGTCGAAAGCATTTGTCAAAAATTTAGCAACTTGTTCAAAAAATTACAGTTTTAACTAGTTAGCAACTCCAGGAGCTTTGTAAATGAACTCCCAATTTGAGGTTTTTTTTTTGGCAAAAAGGACAAGTAAAACAACTCCTTAAAAATAAGAAGTTGCAAAAAAATTCCCCTCCAACTCCTAACTTTCTGCGCTGGATAGGAAGCACGTATCTCCCCCACCCCTCCTGACGCCTTTTTTTTTTTTGCTTCTACCACATTTTCTCTATTTTCGCATGCAGTCTGGGTTCCCAACCTCTGCAGTCGCCGCCCCTTGAAGGTACGCAGCCCTAGCCAACTCTAGCCACCACTGTTGGGCCACGGGATCACCGGCTGACGACGGTGAACTAGTCTCAGCACCACTAGTCTTCCAGACGGACCACTAGTCTCGGCACCACTAGTCTCCTGCACCACTGCATCCGGGCCGTGTCCGTACCCACACACTATGGATCGAGCTAGAAGAAGGGAGAACAGAGCAAGCACGCACAATACAAGACAACAACGTTGGCCGAGACCTTGTCTGTGGGATGACAAATCTGAGCTCTCTTTACTGAGTTGTCTTGGTGTCCTATTTATACAACTCTATCTATCTAACTAAAAATCTGGTAGCACATGTCAGAATGATAACTAGATAAGCATCTGAGGCTGACTCTACCGGCCTCTCGCATGGCATCTGAGGCTGACTCTGCGCCGCCCTCTGCATGTGCCTCTGAAGCTACAAGAGCAGTGAGCCGCTGCGGCGCTGCACCTCAGCTGCTCTGATATTACAAATAGGGGCAAAGTCGGCGCCGCCTTCCTCTATCATGTTTCACACAAGATGGCGAGATTAGCTAACAATCTTCCCTAATCCTCATCGCTAACCATTGCACCCCTCCATGCCGATCATCTCCTTCAGCCCGTGAGTCGAAGTCGTCCAAAGCGGCTTGGTGAGGACGTCCGCGAGTTGCCGACCGGTTTCGACAAACTCGATGACGATCGCCCTCCATCAGCGATCCACGAGGAAGTGGAACTTCACGTCGATGTGTTTACTCCGGCCGCGTGCGAACCGTATTCTTCGCGAGGGCGATGGCGGGCTGGTCGCCCACCATCGATCTTTGGTGGGTGAGCTTCCACGCCGGTTAGCTTCGCCCGGCGGCCAGCGTCTTAGCCACAACAACTTGGCGCGCCTTTGTGGTGCGCTCGTACTATCGCCTGCCGCACGTAGATAGCGCCACCACCTTCTTTTTCGGCGACGACCATGAAATTGGAGCCGACCGAGGAGGAAGACGAGTACGCGGAGAGGTGCTCCGTCGTCCGTCGATGTCCCCGCCATGTCTGCGCATCGGCCGAACACCGTGAGCTGCAGCCTAATTTCCCCGGTCTTTGGGAAGATGATTCCATGATTCACCGCCCCTTGACGTATCGTAGTAGCCGCTTCACCGCATGACCCGGTGATCCTCTCTCGAGATCCTCCATGAAGCGACCGACGTAGTAGCACACGGGCGAACGCAATATCCGCCTTGTGTGGACTAGGTAGCGCAGACCGCCGACGATGCTCCGTTGGAGTGTTGCATCTACTTCGCGCCATGGTTGTCCCCGTCGCCGGGCCAGCTCCTCCATCGGAGTCACGCATGGCTTGCACTCCACCATGCCGCCCTCTCTCCAACAAATTGGAGGCATACGCGCTTTTTGCCCGGCGTGAGTTCCTCCTTCCTGTCTCTCTCCTCGATGCCGAGGTAGTAGGAGAGAGCGCCGAGATCGCTCATTCAAAACGAAGCTGCCATCTCGTTTGAAGTTGTTGATATCCTCCGTGCGCGCCGGTGGCGATTAAGTCATCCACATACACGCCGACCACGAGTTCTTCCTTCCCCGTCGTCGCGTGTAGAGCGCGTTCTGATTCGCACCTCTGAAACCCAAGCTTCGCCCGGCGTGGTGTCAAGCTTGGCGTTCCATGCTCGAGGGCTTGCTGCTGAGCCGTAGAGCGCTTTCTTGCGATCGGAGCACCACGTGCTTCTCTCCCTCGACGGCGAACCACGGAGGTTGCGACGAAGGCCCATTTCGCCCACTCGCCCCGTTGAGGAAGGCCGATTTAACGTCCAAGTGATGGGCGCGCCACATCCTTTCTTCGCCGCCAAAGCAAGTAGCAAGCGGACCGACTCCATCGCGCGCGCCATGGTGCAAAAACCTCCTCGAAGTCGATGCCCTCGCATATTTGGACAAAGCCTCGGCGACGAGGCGTGCCTTATACTTGACAATGGCGCCGAAGCTCGTCCTTTTGACTTTGTACACCCACTTCAGGTGATCGGACGGCATCTCGGGGTGGATCGACGAGCCGCCAAGTCTCGTTTTCCTCGATCGCCTTCATCTCCTCCGGCATTGCCGTCGTCGCCGGTTTCCATCGCGCTTCGGCTAAGCGCGAACGTGGTGGTTGGTTCCTCTGACCGACGAGTAGAAGCTCTGCGTGCGTTGAGCGACCTACCCGCCGGACACGAGGGGCTGTGGTCGCCGACGATGTCATCCACCTGCGGAACCTCAACTCCTCACCTTCGTGGTAGGCGTCCACGAACTCAGTGATGTCGCTTGGAGGTGAGGCGAACTCGATCGGGGTGATGAAGTTCCTTCTTCCGCCGGAGTGCCACGTGATAGCACCGAAGTGCTCAAGATCGCTTACGGGATCGCTTTCGTCATAATCTCCTGCGGTGTTCGGCCACCTTTGTAGGAGTGTCGACCTCGATCTTGGAGTGGTCGGAACCACAAGAAGACGTCTTGGCTCCGCCACGGAGTGCTTCGGCACCCGTCCGATGTGGTCGCCACCTGCGCAGAACCTCCTGGCTCCACTCTGGCGTGTTTCGGCATCCCTCCGAAGTGCTCGACACTCCTCCCGAAGTGCTCGGCATCCCTCCCGAAGTGTTTCGCAGACGCGCCCTGAAGTGCTTTCGACTCTACCGCCGGAGTGCTCGGCAAGGCCTCCCGGAGTGCGTGGCACTGTTCCATGCAGCGTCTCCACCGCCGTGGATGACCAAGTGCTTTCGACGACGAAGGTGTTGGTGAAGCCTCCCGCGCTTCGAAGCTCGGATCGTATGTCCCAAAAGCCGCCTCCTCGTTGAACACAACGTCGCGCGACGAGACACCACCTTGTCTCCGCGTGGGTCATAGAGCCAGACGCCTTGGTACCCTCCGCGTAGCCAGAACACCGTGGTGTGCTCTCGCCCTCCGGCTTGGTGAGGTTCGGCCCGTCATTTTCCGGCGTGGCCGATGCAACCGAATGTCCGGAGGAATGACACGTTCGGCTTGCTCCGCACCAAGCTTCGAACGACGTCTTGCCCGTTAGGGCTTTGGTTGGAAGCGGTTGAGGATGAACACCGCCGTGGTCTCCGCCTCTCCCCGAACTTTCTTTGGCATCCTTTGGCCTTCATCATGGATCGGGCCATGCCGACACCATCGTCCGGTTCCGTCGCTCCACCACGCCACTCTGTTGTTGGCGCGAAGCACGGTGTGGCGTGATGTTGCCCCACACCTTGATCCGCGAAGACGTAGCAAACTCCACCGAAGTGAATTCGCCACCCCGATCGGTCCTTAGTACACGGAGCTTGCCGCTCTCGGCCGCGCGCAGCGTCTTGAACTTCTTGATCGCCACCGCCGCCCGTCCTTGTTCGTCGGGAGTTGCGACCACATGTAGCGCATCGCAATCGCCCACAGTAGGAGGGAAGTACCGCCGACCACCGCATGTAGCAGGCGTGATCGGCCCGCAGAGGTCGCCGTGAACTAGCTCAAGAGCTTCCTTCGCGTGATACTTGGCCGTCTTTGGGAAAGGTAGCCTCCTCTGCTTCCCGGCCAGGCAGCTATCACACAGCTCGCCTCCGTGTTTGATGTGGGGTAGCCCTCGGACCATCTTCCCCAGCCAACCAAGCGCGTCGAAGCTGAGATGTTCGAACCGGGCATGCCACATACACGGTTCCTCGGAGTGCCTTGCCGCCAGGCAAACCGGCTGCTCTACCTTCAGGTCGAGCAAGTACAACCGGTTCAGGGACCTCTTCACCTTGGCGAGAAGTCGCTGCTCCCAGTCTCTGATCCTCAGAACGCCGTCCTTGAGCAGATGAAGATGATGGTGCCGCGCCCTTGAATAGCCACCCTTGAGCCGTCACCAAACTTCACCGTATCGGTAACATCACCGTCAAGCTCGGAGAAGGAGTCCTTGGAGCCCGTCATGTGGTTACTGGCACCAGAGTCCAGATACCACCGCTGCTCCTGGTCGACGCCCACATGCCCAAGATGGACTTGGGCGCGTGGTTCGTCGAGGTTGACGGTCTTCAGGGCCTTGCTAGATCCTTCCACCGTCTGCCGCCTCTTCCTCTGCGCATGGCCTCGGCGTGCGCAAAGGCATGAACGTCGCCATAAGGATAGTGGCCTCATCCTCATCATCGGCTTTCGCCAGTGAGCTCGAGCCTTCTTTTTCCTTCTTGCGATTTGGGCACTCCTGCGTGCCCAATGACCCATCTTCCCGCAACACCGACAGCGTTGAGTCGATTTGCTTTTTCTCCGAAGAAGCCCCGCCGCGATGTTTGCCGTTGCCACCGCTGTTGGAGGAGGCCGCCTTCACGGAGTTCGGCACGAGCGCCACTCCTCTTCCGTTCGGTAGGAGTTTCGCCATTGTCGCCGTTGTTGTCGCTTTGCTCCAGCGCCATCCACCGCCCATGCAGACGGCTGTCACATCCTCGATGGTGAGGGTGGACAAGTCCAAGATCGTCTCTATGGAGAGAGCGATCTGGATGTACTTTGCTTAAGACGGAGTGGAGGAATTTGGAGACCGCCTCCTCTTCGTCGATGGTGACGCCGTGGCTCTTGACTTGTTGATGGCGTCTGCGCAGACGGAGGGAAAAGTCCTCCACTGTTTCACCATCCTTGAACTTGAGGTTTGCAAAATCCTGCTTCAGAAGCTGGGCCGTTGCCTTCTTTGCGCGGTCGGGACCGACGCGCATCGCCGCAATGGCCTCCCACGCCTCCTTAGTTGAGCTCTTCGTCCCCAACGGTTCCTCGTACTCCACGCAGTACAACAGGCGAGGATAGCCTCCAACGCCGACATGTCGTCTTCTTCCACACGCTTGCCCTTGTCATGACATTCCGAGCCGTCCGGGTTCGAAGCTTGACCTTCATGGTCACCGACCACTCTCCATAGTTAGTGCGAGTCGGCGTCGGCCAAGTGGTGCAGCGACCGACCTCCCGCACCGCGGCGGACAACTACCTCGGTAGAGTGGTCGGGCAACTATGGCGATGCTGCCACGCCATCGCCAACTCCAAACCGCACCGTCCTCGCCATCGGTTAGAATGACGACGGCGCTTGTATGCGCTTTTGATACCACTTGTTGGCCCACGGATCACCGACCGACGACAAAGTGAACTAGTCTCCGGACCACTAGTCTCCCAGCACGCACCACTAGTCTCCGGACCACTAGTCTCCGGACCACGCATCTACCGTGTCCGTACCCACACACTATGAATCGAGCTAGAAGAAGGAGAACAAAGCAAGCACGCACAATACAAGACAACAACGTTGGCCGAGGCCCTATATCGTGTGATGGCAAATCTGAGCTCTCTTTATCGAAAGTTGCCTTGGTGCCCTATTTATACAACTCTATCTATCTAACTAAAGTACACTCACATGTCAGAATAAAGAACTAGATAAGCATCTGAGGCTGACTCTGCTTGACCTCTGCATGTGCCTACTGATCTTTGCAGGTGAGCTGGCGGCATACCGCACCGCAGCTGCTGATGATTACAGCGAGGGGGCAAAGTCGCGCCGCCTTCCTCTCTGCCGGTGTGTTTCACACAAGGTGGCGATGAGATTAGCTAACAACCACCGCCTAGCATCGCTCAGCTACACCTGCCACCACCGACCGACCATGGCAGCGTGACATGCGGGCGGCAGCCACACCCAGCCGGCCACCAGTGCGTCTGGCCGCATGCCAGACCTGGGACAGCCATGCCCAGCCACGCCTTGAGCGATTCTCGGCCACACCAGCCGGTTGAGGCCGGCCACAGCCTCGTAGGGCAGTCCTAACACAGCCACTACGGCAGGACAGGGCTGGCTGCAGCTAGCTGGAGGGTGGCTGCTCGTGTCTGGGGCAGGAGTTTGCAGGATGTTTTTTTGTTAACACAGTATTTTAATATTATTTATATAAATCATATAAAAATCATGTATACATGTCGGTCGATGAACAATGCTTTCAGCTTTTTTGTTGCAATTTGTTTTTACATGTGAAATAGTTTTGTCGGTCAATGAACAGTAGATTCAAATGTGGATGGCAAGTTGTTCTTTGCTGTGCTCTTGTATTCTTGGTTGATGAACAGTACATTCATAAGTGTAGTGGCATTTTGTTTTTATATTGCAACTTAATTTGCCTTCCCATGAATAGATTTTTTGACATTTAGTTCATCAATTGTGTGTCTGGTCATGCCATAACCAGCTCGAGCCGGCGACAGCAACACTGGGCAATGGCCAGGACTGATTATGGCCAGCCAGGGGTAGCTACGGCTGACCAGAGCTGGCCACGGAAGACCAGAGGCTGTGGCTGCTGGTGGCCAGAGGACAGCTGCTACTATCTAGAGGCAGGGGTTTGCCGTTGATTTTTTTATGAACGTTTCATACGGCATGGCCAAGGCTGGCTACAGCCGGCCAGGGCTCGCTATGTAGGATCATAGCCCCTCTCGTGCCCTCATTGTTTATCTCAATATATGACAATATGTTCCGGGACAGAACCACCATGTTTTCTTGCACGTTTTCCTCCGACTATGCAGGGGTAGACCAGGAGAAATGATTAAATAGTATCATCGTCCGAAGACCAATCCAATTCTTTTTTCACAAGTGAATTATGGATGCTCATACTGCCAACAGCTGTAGAACAATGAAAACAAGCCTTGGCCAACCCTAGACTGGCCGAGCCTCCTAGCCAGCACTGGCCAAACCCAGGCCAACACTGGCCTTGCTGCAGGCGGCTGCGGCTGGCTGGGGTTCGCTAGGATGCGGCCAGCGAACGGCTGTGGCCCGTTTTTGCTACCTGAAGGTTGGGAGCAGGTGGCTGGGGGGCAACCACACCAGGCTGAGGGGCGGCAATGCCTGGCTGCAGGAGCATGAAACAGGGGGGTGGCAGCGAACTGATGGGTTGACACAAAGAAAAAGTCATGGACCCTCTTTTTGTTTTTTAGGAAGCTAGTATAGGAAACTATTGGAGAGATGGATAAATGGATGTTACTACTTATTTTGTTAACTTGCTGAAGTCATTGATTCAGCAAGTGAATTTTACAAAGGTCCTAGAGTTGCACTTATGTCATTTATAGCTTCTCTAAAGTGAATATATAACTTTTTTTTAAAACCCAACATAACCCCTTTTGCAGCATGAACAAACATAAAAGGTCTAAAAGTGATGGTGATTCCATCACACAAGATTATCATTATCTAACACATCGACAGAGACCTACTGCTCATACTTAAATATTAGATTAAATTGTGATAAGCTGGCATTTGAAATGCTAGTTTAAACTGTGAAACGCTAAGGAAATACAGCCTAATACCAACTGGACAAAGCCAGCACCCATAGTTAATTCCTAGCGTAAACTACAACAAATTACATCTCACTGGGGGCATGGACTACTACGATGGAAAAGAATGGATACTGTGAAAATTACTGAAGTCATAATGACAATTTCTAACCTCATCAAGCCTTGGAAGGGGATGCATGATCACAGCATGCTTTGGCAGCACATCTAAGACCTTCTTATCCACAATGTACTTACCACGAGCAGCTTCATAAAGATCAATCCTCTCACCAAATCTTTCTTTTTGAATACGTGTTTGATAAATAACATCACACTTGGAAGCCACCTCCAACAAATCTGAACTTTCTTCCCATTCAACACCTTTGGAATTTAAGTAGTCCTTGATGTCATCCTTTGGACAGAATGAAAACAAACACAATTCCATTTATTCTGTATGGATAAAATAGAGGATAAATGAAACAAAGTCAAAGATATTTCTTTACAAGACTCAAACCTTCATTTTAACAACATCTGGAGATACAAAGTATATCTTAATGTTCTGGTACTTAGCAATCAAGTAAGCCAGAGAACGAACTGTCCTCCCATTAGCAAGGTCACCAACCAAACCAAGTTTTATCCCATCTAGTGTGCCAATTTCTCTCTTTATTGTGTACACATCCAACAGAGCCTGAAGAAAAGAATGAAATTGCGAATTACAAATGGCACTGCAAAATTTTCAAACCTTAAGATAGATGCAACACAAAAGGTATTTCAGCAAGTTGTTATAGAAATATAGAAATGCACTCCAGTGAGTATGACCTGACTTTGCTTATCATCAAGATGCAGCAGATACTTGGGTATTCCAGATGAACCTTTGAGTAAATGACTACAAACAATTAGCTGTAGCATGTAATGTGTTTGCTGATTTGTGGTAGAAGGAATTCTTGCAGGTGTAGGATATACCATCAGGAAGTTGCCAACACAATGAAGGCCTAGTCAAATTTATAAATAAATGGTACAAAGCATATTACAGTACATGGCCTGTTCTAAGGAGATCTACGAATGGTTTATTTTGCTATGCTCACTTTCATTCTTCCAATGCTACAATCATATAACACAATACTTAATGGACCATCAGACAGGTCCAGAAACACAGACAGAAACCATGTGAAGAAAATACTACAAGAATATCCAAGCTAAGCCCTTGCAGGAGTGTCCATCCTCAAGTCCAAGTGCAGCTTCCTATCGTTTTCAACCTCCCAAAGTACCCAAACTTCAAAATAGCCATCAAACAGGTCATTGTCGCTTGTTGACAACTTTGCAACATCCCAACCAATGGCTAGACCATCATTCACTAAAATGCAGTTTTTAGCTCTTGTGCCAAGATTAGAAAACTCAAAAATCACTGTCTCCGGAGCCAACCTCCAAGGATGACAATTGACACTACTTTTTAAAGTAAGATAGATGGAGGGAGGGTCAGACACTGAACATTTACCTGGGTTGGATGTTGCCCTGGCCCATCACCTGCATTAATAACAGGAATATTCGCAGTATCCGCTGCTCTCCTTGCGGCTCCACTTTCAAAATGTCTCAGAACAATAATATCAGAATAACCCTCAACGGTTCTTATGGTATCTGCGTCATGGATAGACATGGTTAGTAACCTCGAATTCTCTCTCAAGAGACAGAAATTGGTAAAATTCTGTCCGAATTGTTACTTAAGAACAAATTTAGTTCTGCAACGGAGGAGGTAATCCATTACATCATTTTCCTTTTGTGTCAATTAAATCCAGTTTTATCTTTTGACTAATTCAGAATTGAAAATTTCAGAGAAATGGAAATTTGGCAATTGTTAACTAGCGGCAAGCAATGGTTCCCAAAACAGAAATAGAAAACCGATATGTTGGTAGAAAGCTTGGCATGCCCATTTCCTCACCTACATGCATGTGCTCAGGCACCAACCGTTCTCAACAGCACCCGTAATATAGTGGAGACACCAACCTTTCCACTTCAACAACTCCCTCACCGTCACTAATACAAAATATAACGTATTCAACAAGGCAACTGAAGCTCAGTAGCTCACCTTCGAGTGTCTCCCCCTTGGCGGCGGAAGAGAACTCGCGCGCGTTCTCAGTGGTGAGCACCTCCCCGCCGAGCCTCCGCATAGCGGCCTCGAAGGAGAGGCGCGTGCGCGTGGAGGGCTCGTAGAAGAGCGTGGCCATGAGGTACCCCTCGAGGACGCGGCTGGGGCGCCGTGGGAGCCCGCTCCACGGCCTCCATCTCCCGCGCCACCTCGAAGATCTCGTTCAGCGCGTCCCGGTCGAACTGCTGCGCCTCGATCACGTCGCCCAGGCGCGTGGTGACCTGGTGCTGCTGCGGCGCGGCGGAGGTTCCGGCGGCGACGGAGGTGGCAGCGCCGCCGCGCAGGCGAGGGGCGGAGGAGGGCGTGAGGGACAGACGGGGGCTGCGGCGGGAGGTGGAAGGAGAGAGAGGTGCGGCAGCGGGGGGGCGGCGCGAGCGGCGACGGCCATGGGAGGGGTGAAGCGAGGCGGCGGGAGGGTTTAGGGTTCAGCCGTTTTTCGGAGGAGCAGGGAGCGGCACTGCGGCAGGCGGCGGCGGGACCGCGGGAGCTCGCTAGATTTTAGAATCTGTCTGCTTTTTTTATTTTTTGTTGGGCGCTGTGACTCGTGAGGACATGTATCCGCGGATTCTCGGTGGGAAAAAAGAGAGAGAATGCTGCTAAAGGCTATTCTTTTTTACTGTTTTGATGTCCGTCCGGATGGACCCTGCCCGCGTCGTCTGATCGCTCTATGCTCCCCTGCTCGCGAGATGTGGCTAGATCTGTGCCGTTCACGAGCTCCACACTAACCACCTCCGTGTCATTCTATGACATCGAGCTTCAGGTCGGCGTCGAAGTCCGCGTTGATGAGCCTCTATTTTCATCTAGCAAGTAGATGTTGCAATTTAAATCGCATGTTGCAAGTCCATGTTTTAAGTATTTTTAGATGTTTCATAGTTATATTGCAATTGTTCCATACAGTTGTTGTAAAAGTATATCTGGATGTTGTATTTGTTGTAATGGTTGTACACGTATGTTGTAAGATTTTGTTTTCAATGTTTCATCTATTTTTTCATACGTATGTTGTAAGTGTGTTTGTTTGGATGTTGCATATGTTGCACACATATATTGCAATTGTTTTATCTAGATGTTGCGTATGGTTTACAACGGTTTTCAGGTGTTTTTGCAAATGTTTTAGATACATGTTTCAAGTGTTCTATTTATCTTCAGACGTATGTTGCAAGTGTTACATGATATTTTAAAAGTAGATCAGGTGTTGCATCTCTCTTCTTGTCTTCTATTGCCTCGCCTCGGTGTCTCATCCTCGCCTTCTGCTGCATTGCATCCTTCTTCGACTACGGAGGGGGTGCGGCGAGGACTGATGGAGGGGGCATGCTGGGGGATGGCGGCACGAACATGAGCGCGTGCTCTCCCCTTCTGTTACGAGGGTAAGAATAGGATTCCGTTGATTCCAATTGATGGGCAAGGATACCACTTCTGTTGTCGGCCCAAGCCCACGTATTGAGTCACGGTTGGATGGTGGGAGCTGCTCCGGACGCACTGTTGGGACCGAACGTTCGAGCGCTAGTCATCCTGTTTGATTATCGCTGTCATAGAATTTGAACTAGCACAAAGAATAAAAAAACATGTTACGATGATTATAATTGAATTGATCGTGTAAGGAAAATGGACCCTAGGCCTATTTAATTTGGATTTTGATGTTTGATGACCAGCATAATCGAATTGGACTAATAAATTTATAAGAGATTATTTTGTAGTTTAATAGGGTGCAAAACGTGACTTAGACGAAGGCGACATGATGATCTCACGATCAACACCATAAGTAAGACCCTAGAAGCACAAGAGAAGACCCAAGATATCAAGCAAAGTTCAAGCACGAAGATAGGAACCAAGCCGGACACAAGATCGTGAAGAAACGAGCTTCACAGAGGTGACCGAACGCGGTCCTTATAGCGACCGGACGCGTCCGATCAAGATGCTCGGCAACGGCAGGCGTCAACAGCAGCGACCGGACATTGATGATCCAAGTACCGGGCGCGACGATGACACTGTTCACTGTCGCGACAATAGCTCAGCACTGACCGAACGCTGGAGGGTGATCGACCGGACGTTAGGAACTGTAGCGTCCGATCGAGTCCAGAGAGGTTCTAGAGCGGCGCCAGCACGACCGGACACGTCCGATCGACAGTGACCGGACTCAGCGCCGAGTCCGCTCAACGCGCTAGCTTCAATGGTCGAGACGACTGGACGTGTCCGGTCAGGACGACATCAGTATCCGGTCAGTAGCAGAAAGGTGGGTTTCGTCCCCAACGGCTACTTTCTCAGTTGGGCTTATAAATAGACCCTCCAACTGTCCATTTGAAGTAATTGGAGCTAAAGAAACATACCAAGGGTGTTAATACATCATTTTAGTGATCTCCACTTGTATAGTGCTTAGTGATTCATTAGGTGATTAGCGTAGGTGCTTTGCGAAGTGCTTAGGTTGATTAGACCACCGCTTATGCGCTTGCTCTAGGTTTAGACCTAATGTTTAGTGAGGTTTGTATACCTCTTACCACTCGGTGCTTGCGCACACCATTGTTGTACATCAGAGGGGCTTATAGTCTTGCGAGATCACATCAACCGTGTTTGTGGTGTGGCCGCCACCGTGTACCGAAAGGAATAAGACCCGTGGTGATTCGGTCGGAAGCTTGATAGTGAAGACGGCGAGGAGCGGTCCGGGAGAGGCTTATCGGAAGGTATACCGGAGACCCACTTGCGTGTGGAGAAGGCCCAGGGCTACCACGGAGCTACCCGACCGGGAGTTTGGCCCTCGCGAGAGATTTCTTGCGATGGGCTTCAACGAGGACTAGGGAGAAGCTTATGCGCTTCTCGTTACCTCGGTAAAAATACCGGAGTCGTCGATGGGAGTTTGCATATCTCTACCTTACTCTTTAGCTTCCGCATTTATATTGTTTGCATAACTCCTTTTGCGGTAAAGATAGCAACACACTACCAAAATCATAGTTGCACATTTAGATAGTTTATCTTTTGCATAGGTTTTGCTAAGAATAGAAAATGAGGTCATAGTTTAGAGTTAGACTTTTGTTGTCTAATTCAACCCCCCTCTTAGGCGCCACGGTCCCTTACAATTGCTATCGAGAGCGGTTATTTAATTTGGACCTTTGGCTTCACCGTCGTTGAGCCGACGCTATTTAGAGTGGTTGGGATAGATACCTCTAGGCCTCCGCACTTTGCAAAGTTCAGCTAGACGGCGATTATGCGCGCCTAGTCGCTGGGTGAAGCCCATCGCCGAGACTAGGGGCATAGTCGCGCAAGATCATGGAGCTAGGCGGGCTTGAAGGTGCGCTTAGGGGGCGTATGAGACATGGCGCGAGGGCGCCTTGAGCTCGAGGGCGGCTAGTTTTGGCGCACCAAATCGAGAGCACGGAGGAATTCCGTGCGTGCAGTGCTCGGCAGATGGCCACGAGACCCACCACGGGAGGATTAGAAGGAGCGCTGGCGCCATTCGCCAAATCCCGCCTCGCCTCCTCCTCCCACCGGGTCCTCCTCCTCTGCTCCTCCCGTTGGTCCTCCTCCTCCTCTCTGCTCCTCCCTGCTCATCCAAGCTCGTCCCCTCGACTCGCATGGCTGCTGGTCCTCCGCTGTCGCCGACTCGCCGCCACCGTCCTGCTCGTCCTCGACTGGAACCCCTCCCCGCCGGCCACCCCAAGTCCCCAAGGTGAGCTCCCTTCCCTCCCATGCCGGCAGCTCCTCTCCTGCTCATCTCCCCTGTATTTGAATTCATTGGTGAACTCTTGAATTTGAATGTAGGATGTCGACAGAACAAGGTATTTCTGCACCAGATGCAACAAGAACTGAGGCAACTAATCTCCTGAAAAGGAACTCGGATGATGTTGGATGGGAATATGGTGTTCTTGTTGATGCTAGCAACAAGGACAAGGTGAAGTGCAAGCTCCGTGACAAGGAGATGAGAGGAGGGATTCATAGGTTGAAAGAGCATTTGGCTCATAAAGGAAAGAATGTAAAGAAATGCACAGCAAGAACACCACAGGCTATGGAGGCTAAAGAGAAGTGCAAGAAGGCACTAGCTGATGCAAAAAGGAAGGAGGAGAAGACTGTTCATGAGCTAGAAATTAGAGAGGAAGTTCATGTATCTAGGGTTGGAACAGATTCAGATGAAGTCACCTGTGTTGGAAGTTCAGAGCCCCACAAATTAGGACCCATTGACAAATGGACACGTGCTATTGATCCTAAAGCTACCAAGTCTGATTCTTTGAAGCAATAGCAGTTGAACAAGGAACTTTGGAAAGAAAGAACCAATGAGGAGCATAAGTACATTGCAAGATGGGCCTATACACAAGGTAAATTGCTAGTATACTATGCTATTTTTACATTTCAAAGTTTATTAGATGTTGTTTTCTGTCATGAACACTAATTATGCTTCTTTCAATGTTGTGTTAAGGTGGAATTGCTTTCAATGCATGTGATAATGATGAGTTCAAGCAAATGTGCGAAGCAATTGGACAGCTTTGGTCCAGGACTTGTGCCTCCAACTCAGGATGCACTGTGAGGAAAGTTGCTGGAAGAAGAATATGAAAGAACCAAGAGTTTGCTACAGGAGCGTGAAGTTTAGAAGATGAAAAATGGGTGTTCTATTATGGTGATGCTTGGTCGGATAGGAAGAGGAGAAGCATATGAATGAATCAGGCACCAATTGTCTTTGATGGAACCTCTTTCTTCAACTCTAAGGAGATGTCACATGTCTCACATATCAGTGAGGTCATCTTTGATCTTGTGGACAAAGTAATTGAAGAGATTGGTCCAGACAATGTGGTGCAAGTAGTGACTGACAATGCCTCTAACAACATGGGAGCAAAGAGGCTATTGGAAGAGAAGAGACCACACATATTTTGGACCTCTTGTGCAGCTCACACAATCAACCTTATGCTCCAAGGAATTGGCAACATGACTTGGTTCAAGAAAGTGGTTGACCAAGCAAAGGCATTTATCATATTTGTCTATGGCCACACAAGGACATTGGAGTGCTTGAGATACTTCACAGAGGGGAAAGAGGTAGTGAGGCCAGGAGTGACTAGGTTTGCTTCAAACTTTCTCACTTTGAGTAGCATGCAAGAGAAGAAGGACCAGTTAAGGAAGATGGTGGTTCATAGTAGGTGGGACTCATTGAAGGATGTGAAATCAAAGAAAGGAAAAGAGGCAACAGCAACTATATTGAGTCCAAGCTTTTGGAAGGATGTGAAGCTAACATTGACTGTTTTTGAGCCATTGGTCAAAGTCCTCTGTTTGGTTGATGGGGATGTGAGGCCATCCATGGGTTTCCTTTATGGAGAACTACTAAAGGCAAAGAGACAGATCAAAGAGGCCTTTGGAAATGTTGAGGCTCGGTTCAAGGATGTAATAGCTGTTATTGACAAGAAGATGAATGGAATACTTGATTCTCCATTGCATTTGACAGCCTTATTTACTGAATCCTCACTATAGCTATAGTGACCCATCAATCTTTGATCAGCCCAAAATATCAGAAGGGTTTATAGCTTGTGTTGAGAAATTTTATTATCATGATGAGGACATGCAGCATCAGGCTGCCAACATTGAACTAAAGAAGTTTCAGAATAGAGAATGACCCTTTAGCAAGAAGCTTGCTAGGACTTTTGAAAACTTTGATTACAACTCAGGTAGAGGTATTTCAGCATCATGGTGGAGACTGTATGGATATGAAACACCAACTTTACAGAAGATGGCTACAAGGATCCTATCTTTGACATCAAGCTCTTCTAGTTGTGAAAGAAATTGGAGTGGGTTTAAAGGGGTTAGTACCTATCTATTATGAACATTTCGGGCCAAAGACATTACAATTAAATTGTAGAACTGAGAATGCTTTTTGTAAATTGTAGATACACACTAAGAAGAGGAATAGGCTTACTACAACCCGTCTCAACAAGCTAGTGTATATCCAATTCAACTCCAAGCTGATTAATAAGAGAGAAAAGATCAAGTCAAACAAAATCACTGATGTTCTCTTGTCTAGTGATACAACTGAAGCTCAAGGTTTTCTCTAGGAGGGTGGGGATGATTGTGCATTAGTTGACTTTAGAGATGGGGAGGAAGATGAGATGGAAGGTACAGGATACCTTAGTCTGTCATTGAGAGGCGGTGGGGAGCAGATGAATGACTTTCAATTTGCGTAGAAGTGCAAGAGTGAGGGAGCTCTATGAAGGAGAAGAATTTGAGTCTCAAGAAGAAGAGTATGACGATGAGGATGTGTACTATGTTGAAGAAGAAATATGATCTGGACCATCTCCATCTTGTAGTGAAGCTTTTGTGATGCCCCGGTCTTATGAACTGCAAATTGTGTCACTTTGTGTCTGTGTGTTTTCTTTTGTGATTTGTGAGACCTGAACTAAGAACTATGTGCTTGTGCTGTCCTTTATTTATAAATTGTGTTGTGCACTTGTATTACTGTCCTATCCACTTGTATTGTAATCACCAGTTGCTGATATGGTGTGCTCATGGATGGGAGGCTGCTGAAATCATCAAGATAAGTCACAACTTAGTGTTTTCTATTTTTTTATGAACAACTAGCTGTCTATTGACTAATTTACTAACTATTAGCTGTCAAAATGTGTTGCAGGAGCTAGGAACATGCAAGAGTAAGCCAACTAGGAATCAGATATGTCTACTGGCCCTCTTTTTATACTTACTGTGACTCATATAGTCATATATAGTAGTTATATACATATATGTAGTTATATACATAATATATATATATATAATTTATGGCTATATTGCCAAAACACCTAGGGAAACGCCTAGGAGCGCCTAAGACCGAGTACTCCCGACTAGGCGCTAGGCAATGGGTCAGCGCCTAGATTCCACCTAGCGCCTAGCTGAACTTTGGCACTTTGACACACTAACTTCCCCTATTACAAAGCTAGAATGGCTTATCATCATGAGACGGTAGATTTGGGTGTTTGAAGAGTCACTCGTGACGGAATGAAACCCATTAAGAATCCCGATAAACCCACAAAGAGTGAAGAAAAAGAAATTTATTTTAATGCTAAAGCTAAAAATTGTTTGTTTGAATTTTTTAGCATAGATGTGTTTAACCAAGTGTTCACTTTAAATACGGCACATGAAATTTGGTTGAAACTCCAAGAGCTTCATAACGGCACAACTAATGTCCGTAGGCAAAAATATTGTCTAGCTAAACAAAATTATGATTCATTTAAAATGAATGATGATGAGCTTGTTCGTGATATGTATTCTCGTTTGAATCTAATTATCAATGAGCTCCATTCAATTGGATTAATGAAGCTAGATGATGCGGACATTGTGAGGAAGATCATCTTCATGCTACCATAAAAAGAAATATGCAAGCATCATCACCATCCTTCACAACATGAAGGACTTGAGCACCATAACCCCGGCCATAGTTATTGGCAAGATAGTGGCATTTGAAATGACACACAAGATGGGTCAAGAAGAAGCATCTTCATCAAGCAAAGGCAAAGCTCTCGCATGTAGTAAGAAAAAGAAGATGAAGGGCAAGCAAGTTGAGATAAGCTCAAGCTCAAGCTCCTCAAGTGAAGATGAAGAAGAAGATGATGATAATAATGATGATAATGATGATGATTTAAGTGATGATGATCAATCTTTCTCCTCCACCTCCGACCTTGATGAAGAACCAATCAAACTTATCAACAAGGTGGAGAAGATGACCCAAAGGTTCAATGTCAAGGGTGTGTCCATCCAAATTCAAGATTTCATCTTCACCAATCAAAGAAATGAGTAAAGAAAAAAATGATGCTATGGATACGGCGAGTTGGGGCACTCTGTGAAAGTTTATCCAAACAAACTCACACCCAAGACAAAGAAGAAGGCGTGCAACGACAAAGCCCTCACATCAATAAGGTCATGGGATAATTCTTCAAGTGAAGAAGAAGACCATCATAAAAGGCGAGGGCACAAGCACTCATCATCAAGCACCTCAAGTGTGTGCCTTATCGCACAAGGTAACAAAAAAGCCTATCCTTAGTGATAGTGACAATGATAGTGATGATGAGCTACCTTCTTATAATAAAATTATGCAAGAAAATCTTAACTTTGCTAAAGTTTGCACTAGTCAACAAAAGAAGCTTGAAAAATTAAAAGAAAAACTAGATAGCTCACAACAAGCTTATGCTACTTTGCTTGAACAATATAAAACTTTTGCCAATCTTAATATGGAGCTATCTACTAAAATTGAGCAACTTGAGACTAGTGCAAACACAAATAATTGCACAATCAATGATGAGCAACTTGTAAAAAAATGAAAAATTAAAGAAAAAGTTAGCTAGCTCACAAGATGCTTATAAAAAATTTGCTTGCTAAAATGAAAACTATGTGCAAACATTGTGATGAGCTAACTAATAAAATTGTTAATCTTGAAGCCATCGGTACTACCACCATTGAGGCACCTAAAAAGAAAGGTTCTATTTTTGGCATGCCTAAAAAGGATGCCTCTACTTCTTGTAATGATTTATATTTAAACACATCCTTGTACAACCAAGTTTATGTTGAGAAAATTATTGTAGAAACATACACATAAGAGGTCACAAAGGAGAATGAGCAACTCAAGCAAGAAGTGGCTCACCTCACCAAGGACTTGACTCAAGTGAAAGGCAAGATATAGCAAGCCCAACTTCATCAAGATAACATCATCAAGGGAGTGAAGAAGCTTGATAAAGAACAAATCGTGGTTTGCTATGTATGCCACAAGGAAGGCCACAAGTCCTATAAGTACAAGGTGAAGAATGGGGGAGGAGCTAAGAAGAAAGAGAAAAACAAAAAGAAAACAAGTAAGCTCTCTAACACCTACACCAATAAGGTGGATAAAAAGGCATCCAAACCTTATCTCTTGAAGAAGAAGAGAAATGACAATATGGTGGCCATCAAGGTGAACAAGCAAGACAACAATGGGGCAAAATGCATTTAGGTGCCAAAGGGGATCATCTCCAACATGAAGAGCACCAAGAAGGTTTGGATCCCAAAAAGAAAGTGAGAAGTCCGATGGACTTCGGGGAATTTATAGACTTGGTATAGTTTTGGGTGCATTTCATGGGGTGCATCACATTGGATCATGTCAATTGCCAAATGGGTTAGTGAACACTATGGACCCAAATTCCCCTCCCCATATTAGGTAACTATATTTAATATCTTGTAATTTTAATTAGCATCTAGTTTCTTTTCATGCCTAGGTTTGCATTTGAATGTTTAATCTTTTGT